ATTTAAATTAAACTAATTCTTAATAAAAATAATAGAAGAAAAAAATAATAAAATAAATAAATCAAAATGTACATCAATATCAATTCAAATACAAATAACTGTTGACGCAGACCATTACCTAAGCGACCAAAGGCTTTCAAAAAATAATAATAATATATAAATGCTAGGAATTGTTTTAATTAATTAATTTCCTCATAACATCTGATCTCCCTAATTACAAGATTAGTATAGATCTTATTTGTCCACACAAAGAGACATTAAATCTTACACACATAGTAAATGAAAAGAAAACAAAAGGCGCAAAAGCCACTTAATTAAAACAATGAACTATTAAAAAATATGTGAGTCGCTGTGGATCCACAATCAAGTCATTGAGTCATTGCTGGAATACCAAGCGACTACGACCGTCATTACGAAATTAACTGTCCACTAGCATTGAAATATTTAGATTTATTAAATAAACGGAGGTACGTGTTCTCTCTAGAAGGCATGGGACGGATAGCCCGTATCTAATTTAATATTTTAAGACACGCTTCCCAATGTAGAAGAATATCAACAGATTTTAAAAAATTAGAGAAAATTAACAATTTTAGGGGTTTGCAATGGATCCCAGCTCATGTAGGTCTACAAGGAGACGAGAAAGCTGATATTTTAGCCAAATAGCCTGCTCTGGAGTCAATAAGGATCTATAAGAAGTAGTAGTAGTATGATATATATTACTTGATTATTCAGTGACACAAAGAAAATATAAAAAAGTACATACTATAAAAATTGGTTAGGTCTTAGGTCTTTTAATTCACCCAACGGATTTCAATATAGTTTCAGCAATGGATAGAGTGATTCAAGAGGAAGGTTTATATGTATAATACATGTACACTCGTGCGTAGCCGGGGCGGGTAGCAAGTATAATCTAAAACGACGCACCGTCAGTATTCCCTGGTTCCCACACACAAAGATAATCATAAATAAACAGCACATTGTTATTGCAAATAGATTGAGTTCCTGACACATTCCATTAAATAAATTTCCTTATTTAATGAAAACGGTTACATCCTATAATTGTGCGACTTGTCGGTAAGAAAAAGTGGAAGAATTATTCAACACAAACAAACAAACAATAGAATCTTTATAATGTTAACATAGTCTATAGAATACTTTAGTGTAATATGTTTTTGCAATATTTGATACTGGTTTCACTAAAAAGTGCCACTAAAAATCGACTATAGTCACGAGAAATAAATATTTCAAGTTTATCAAATTTAGGGATATAAAGCCTGTCTCTGTATAGTACCACATCACAGGGTGGAAAGGAGATTGTTAGTAAAGGGGATTTATAGCCCCTGATAGTGAGGCCCCTGGAAATTCATTCCTCAACTCAGTTCCCTTACAAACCATTCTTATAAATTCCTGGTGAATTGGCCATGATGGTTTAACAGACCTTCCTTACATTCATCTTATCATCCTCCACTGGTGTCCCGCCAGCGTAAACCGTTAGCAAAGGCGGGTGCACCATTCCATTAACATTAAAAAAATGTACCACACCAAAGTTAATATTAAATACTAATTATTCTAATATAGATTTATGGGAAATTAAGTTTCTCTTTATGTCTCTACACCAGACAAAATTGTTGCAAAGAGAGCGTGGGATTTTTGTAATATAGTCAGTATAGCTGTTGCAAAATCTCCGGAATCACTGATACTATTTGAAAAAACTAACTAGTAACTGTATTTTCTGTGAAGGAAAAATAAAGACTTTCATTCATTCTTTCCAGAATGAATGAATGATAATAATATAATAATAATAATTCACACAGCGCCATCTTACAAGTTAAGCTAGCTAAAGCTTGTGTTATGGGCACTAGATAACTGATACAAATACATAGATTTTTTTCATAAATACATAAATATTATACATAGAAAACACTCAGACCGATATAAACAATCATACTCATAAATACAAATGTTTGTGCCGTGCGATCAATCGAACCCGCGACCATCGAAAGTAAGGCGGTGTGCTAAAACCCTGTACCACCGAGGCCTTCAATGAAAATATTTACAATAGGATATACTCATATTGTAACATATCTGTTACAATAAGAGTATATCCTACTGCTAGTGGAAATGTGTCTGAATGTACACGATTCAAGTCGTGAGATAAATCAACGTCGGTAGTGGGTACATCTAATTTGGTCAGTGACCCCTCCAGATCCATTTGAGAGAACTTCGACCGAATGCACTCGTCGTTTGCTCATGACACTTCAAAAGCAAGCATATAAAATCAACGATATAAATATAACTAAATTAAAAAATATATAGTTTCATGATTTTTATGTCATCACACTCGTATTTTTAAACCCTCGTGTTTAATATAGATTATTTATATTATTAACTGGATCTTATTTTTTTATATGGGCTTGAGCACTGCGATCTACATAATCTATTCTGCTCGTCCTATTTCTGAGTTTTCTACCTTGAACCGTTAGGGGACAAGAATTGAAGGATATTCTACAGAGCGATGGTTTTTGTCTCCTCAGGATACAGTGTAATACTTTCCAAACATATTTCGTTTATGCCTGAGTGGGCTACAACCACATAAGATGTGTAGTGGCGATTCCTTTTCAGTTTGACAAAATCTGCAGATTTTATTGTTTGCGATATGTTTGTTCAATTTACACTGTCCTGTGAGGGCCCTAGTCAGGTTATTTGCCATAAAATTATTCGTGTAGACCCGGTTAATAATATAAATAATCATACTCGTATGACCTCACCTGCGTGTGATTGTTATAGTGACAGAGATTCATAACAAGATCACAGTGTAAACAACATTTTTTGTACTTAATTTCAGGTGAATTCGCCACTATGTGCTAACTGACCTTACTTTATGCCCATCTTATCGTCTTCCACTGGTACCCCGCAATTTTAATATACAAAAAAACTGTTGTTTTATAAAATACGTAAATATCAATAGACGACCTCTCGACTCTCAGTTGTTTTTTTTTAATGACAAACAGCAGTACCTACTCACATTTTGAAAGTCTACATTCTTACATCAATATCATTAGGCACTTAAATTATGTTATAATGAACAACTATTGCACTGAGGGGGGAAATAATATCCCCATAGTTAGCAATGTACCACGTTAAGCTCCACGCGATTCCACCAGGGAAACATCGTGATAAATTCCTGGTAAATTTGCCACGATGGTCTAGCTGACCTGACCATGTTCATCTTTATCATCCTCCACTGGTGCCCCGCCAGCGTATACCGTTAGCGCAGGAGGGTGCTCCATTCCATTATCAACTTTAAAAAACTATTGCACTAATGCACTTTTTCCATGTTTGTACAGACATAATTAAACACTTATCTGACTTTAAATGTATTTGATATTATTTAAATCAACATGAAAGTATGTAGGTTACGTTAGCTTTTTTTTGTATAATAACATGCAAAGGTACACATTTGTAAATCATCACATGGTATAAAACATCTCGTCTCTTTTAAATTCCGCAACGGATATTTATACAGTTTTCAGCAATAAATAGACTGATTCAAGAGGAAGATTTATATGTATAATACATGCTTATTATAGTATAGAACAAGACGAGAAATTAAAAAAATTGTAATGCCTGACAAAGCCGGGACTATTATGTATCTTATCTGTGGTAACATTTTGGAGAAGATTAGGATATTATCATAAGTACATGTTATTTTACTATGTGTTCCATTTTTTGGCTAAAAGTCAATGTTAAAAAAATGTCAGAATTACCTAATATAAGTTATTATAAGGTATATACTAAATATTTGGATATTTACTTTCATTCTGTTTTTTTCTATTCCACTTTGACTATAATCTTGCATCTACCCGCAATGTCATAGCGTTGGCAATACACGCAATCACGTTTATATAAGTAGTAATAATAGAACTAGAAAGATTGTAATTAAAAACGAGGTAAGTAACAGTTTTTTCTCAAAATTCATCTATTTACAGAACGGTGTAACTAATAAATAAAACTTTTTTTTTAAATAGGTATTAATATAAATTTATCGAAAAATTGTAATTAAAAACGAGGTAAGTAACAGTGTTTTCTCAAAATTCATCTATTTTCAGAACAGTGTAGCTAATAAATAAAACTTTTTTTTTAAATAGGTATTAATATAAATTTATCGAAAAATTGTAATTAAAAACGAGGTAAGTAACAGTGTTTTCTAAAAAAACTTCTATTTTCAGGACGGTGTAAACGATAAATAAATTTTGTCTGATTTTTTTAATGTTAATATTAATTTATATAAATAACAGTCGGACTTACTTGAATAAATCGTCAAGCACACACTCACTTTGTTTCTGATCTGTCCGGGAACCAGGATCCGTATTCACAATAATAACCATTACATTGTAGTTGATCTCAATTTACCTGCAGCCTATAATTTTTTTCATAATAAAACTGAAACGTAGCGTGTCAAGGTAACTTGAAATGCATTACAATATGCAGTGGTAATTTTCATACAGTTTTGTGGAGGACGCAATATTCTAGGACTGAATTTCTATTAAAAAAATGCTAGAAAGCTATACATTTCCGATTGTAGACTAATTCCTACTAAGTTTCCATTGGAACGGTAAACACTGGATTCCGGGCTGAAGAAGCCCTTGTATTTGTTTTTTTTATCAAATATATTTACTTAATGAAAAAGATTATACGACGAAATTAGGCAAGGTAATTTAATCTTTTAGATTTAATACAATAAGATATAAAATACGGAAAATATCGAATATTAAAAACGTAATTTACGATAAATTTAGCACATCTTAAATATATCACTTACTAAATAAACGGAATACAATATATATTCGTCTACACTATAAAACGACAAAGATTATTCTATAAACATTAAAACAAACACATAAATAGATACACAAATAAACAAAACAAACGCGAAATAACATACAACACATAAATACCACCAAACTTTTGTTCATTAATGCCGCTATCAATTTCATTACCTTGACTTTAGACATGGTGAACAATTACTTGGGTCATACGAACAATTGGAGCGAACGCTGAACCGAACCAGCGCGCGACACGATCGACACACGCAAAGATACTGCTGGCCCGCTGACGGTGTTGCCAGCTTAGTAAGAAGAAACCCACAAGCTGGAACTCCTGAAACCTCCAAACAACTACCTACCAAATTATTTAACCAATATTAATAAAACCAAATAAGAATTAAGAACTAGTGGTTGGTTTAGGGCTTAAATTTCAATTTAGCATTAATAATATGAATTTTTAATGGTCATAATGTAATGTTGCAGCCGTCTGTGTTAAAGGAATAAGCACATCGTGATAAATTCACCAAGAAATAACTGTGATACATGACCATGTTACATTGCTCATTACTAAGAAAACTTTTCCTCTATAATTAAAATATTAGAAATACTCCAGTGACTCTTTAATTATTTACTTTACATTATGTAAATCGTTTAGAAATATAAAACATATTAACCACCTGAAAACTATTTTTTATCTATACAATAAATTTTTCCAATGAGTAACTTATGGCTTCCATTTTGTTATCATTAATTAGATGGTTTTTTAAGCTCACTAACAGTCTACTAACTACCAGTAACAAATTATGCCCACCAAAAATAAGGTTAAATTCACCATTTGCAATGGTAAAACAATTAAGTTGGCAACACTGCCTGCTATAGTGGCGTCGAGCGCGAAAGTGTTTGATACCGTGTTTTGATTGTTGCGCGAACAATTTGTTTGCTCAGGCTACCGAATAGGCTTTGCGAGGTTTTTTTTATTTACACAATAGAATAATTACTTCATGTATGAATGAAATATATTTGTAAGAATAAAACAGAAAGTGGAATAACAGAGTAAGTAATATTTGTAAAACAATATTTACTCAGCTGATGTCTTATTCAGGCGCATCTATTATGGATTGTGTTTAAAACATAATCGATTATACAATGATCATTGGAGTTCCATTCATGTGAAAAATTTTCTCGGTGTTTTTTTTTTCGGACTACTCTAATGCTGTTGTCCGTAGCTGGCCTTTACAGCTTCACCGGACGATAGGGGCGAGTGCAGATGGCACTCCAAACCCGCGGATGGACTTATGGAGCGGCTGAAGGCCAACTCCCGCCTGACGGATACGACTTTAGTCTGAGGGCACCGCTTGGGCTTCGAACCTGGGTTCAGGCCGTCGTAATATCGATCACCATTTGAATTGGATGGGGGATCGATCGGAGGGGCCCTCGGTGGTCTAGCGGTATGGGACACCGCTTTTCTTCCGCGGGTTTGATTCCTCGCACAGTATAAACATTTGTATTCATGAGTATGATTGTTTATATCGGTCTGGGTTTTCTATGCATATCTTCTTCTATCTAAATATATATAACTCAGAGGTGACTGACGTAGTGATCTATCAACGCACAGCCCAAACCACTGGACGGATCGGGCTGAAATTTGGCATACGGGTATTATAACGTAGGCATCCGCTAAGAAATGATTTTGATTAATTTTACCCCAAAGGGATAAAATAGGTGATGAAAGTTTATATGAAACTTTGTCAATTTTAAACCGATCGGGCTGAGACTTTGCATGCATAAATCTACTATAACGTAGGCATCCCCTAAAAAAGGATTTTGATAAATTCCACCCCTAAGGGGATAAATTAACGCGAGCGAGGCCGCGGGCAAAAGCTAGTTATGTATATATATATTTACAAAAAAAAACTATCTAAGTATTGTAGTAAACTTGTGTTATGCTAGCTGTGCCCACGGTTTTACCCGCATTAAATTTATAGCCTATATCTTATTCTGATATATAAGCTATATCGCTGTAAAGTTTCATCAAAATCCGTATAGTAGTTTTTGCGTGAAAGAGTAACAAACATCAATCTACATATACTCACAGACTTTCGCGTTTATAACATTAATAATAAGACTACGTAATGTTCTAGAAACAACTAGACACTCTTCATTTATATATCAAATATGTAACTATAACATTTTTTTGTATAATTATTAATATAATATAATCTAAAACAATATAATATAAATTCCTAAGATCCACACTATATAATTACTTGAGATTATTTTTATTATTTCTTAATGCAATAAATAATGTTATGACGCAGTTACCCTAATTCATTAAGATTTTATGTAAACAGCCAGTAATAAATGTTATTTGATTCGACGGTTGAGATACGGCAGTAAAATCTCTGGTTGTGAAGGCTTACTTTAATTCTGGCTTCCTGGATGAGAAATTCTTCGTTTTTATACTTTTCCAGCTGTATGTTCACCTAGGACATACATTAAAGGTGAGTGGACCCATTTCAGTGCATTTTTGGATGTAAAAAATGTTTTTTTTTTATCGAATTAGATGTTATTTTGCGGAAGTCCATTTCACTACTCGATAGATTTATATTATTAATACAAAATAATATAAATACATCGAGCAGTAAAAAATGATTATTTTATGTTTATTTTTAATTATCTACACGGTCAATTAAGTTTAATTATATGTACATTTTATTAGCTCTTTTTTTTTAGTTTGTTGTTTATATTGTATTTTTTACATTGCACTGAATAAAATATTTTTCTTTCTTTCTTTCATTATGGATGATGATGGAATAGTCCACCTATCTTAATAGCTGTACCCTATTGTTAGCACTGTAGGGTACATTGCTGCCGACATCGACCGTGCCCTGGAAACCAAAGCTGATAATTTTCGGTGATTTCATCACGATAACCTATCGTTGTGTTGATTATATTCTCTTCATATCATGCTTCACTCAGTTACTACAGGCGGGTGCACCATTCCATTGTCATACATAAAAAAAACTTCATGATCGTCCTATCATTCTCCACGCCCTGGAAAGATATATCGTTAGCGTAGGTGGTAGCACTCCATCATCTATATATATAAATTACATTGGAGTGTCTGTTTGTAATATTGAAATAACCGTTATATACTGCATGTATATATATAAATAAGGTATATACATCAAAATAACATTTTTTTCAATTTTTTCCGTTTGTCTGTCGGTCTGGTTGTTCCAGCTAATCTCTGAAATGGCTGAACCGATTTTGACGGGTCTTTTTTTGGCAGGTAGCCGATGTAATATGAAGTAACATAGGCTACTTTTATTTTAGAAAAATAAAGTTAAATTCCACGCGGACGCAGGGTCAGCTAGTATAGAATAATATTGATATCTCAAGACAATTACAGAGCAATAGTCCCAAGATAAACATAGTTTGACAACTGATATAAATACATATAGTATATATTTATATAAAAACATAGAAAGTAAAGTATAGAAAGACCAATACAAACAACCATACTCTAAAAAAAGTTATCAATGTATTTGTATCAGTTACCTGGTACCCATAATACATGCTTTCGATACCTTAACTTGGGTCTAGATGGCGCTGTGTGAATTGTCCTTAGATTATTATTATTATTATAAGTATACTTAATACATTGGCCGTGATTACAGAGAGAGAGCTATTGTTACTTACAAATCAGTTTTATGCATTACAGTTAATATATCGTCGGTTAAATAGAAAAATGGCAGCATTCAAAATGTACATTTTTTACAAGACAATGAAAATAAATGCTTGTCTTGTAAAAAAAAAATGTTTCTTTTTTATTTATTTAAATTATTATATTTTTTCTTTAAGATTTTAAATTTACACAGAAGTATTATATATCATTTTAAAAGTATTTAGATAATGATTAAGACGGCGTGGTTAATTTAATTGACTTATATAAAAGGAGGCAATTCTAGCTTATAATTTTGCACTATTTTAGCACCTACAGGTGCAAGAAATTAACAAGCACAGCTCTCAGAATTTCTCACGCTAGTTTATGAGTTGATATCTCAATTATACTGCTGCATCTGCGTCACTGTATCACTGTTATTGCGTATTCAATGCACTCCTTACCACTACTTACTATGATATAGAGCGGGCAATATTCGTCTTTAGTAATTTTTGCTATTTATATAGTCACTAGCTACTCGCCCCGAGTTTGCACAGGTGTACATGTATTATATATATAAACCTTCCTCTATCTATTAAAAAAAAATCGCTTCAAAATCCGTTGCGTAGTTTTAAAGATTTAAGCATACATAGGGACGGACAGACAACGACAACGACTTTGTTTTATACTATGTAGTGATGATGTTCCGCTTTACAAATCCTACATATGTGTATGTTTGACATAATAACATTAAATACCATTAAAGATTTGATCAAATATTTGACACTCATTTGAATATACGTTCAAACAAATAAATGCAAAAATTATCTATAACAAAATGAAATTGCAGGATACTAGGAATGACATTTTATTCCTCCAGAATGGCAACACATGAATGGCACCATGGGTGTCATATGATATGGTGATTCTTGTATACAGAACATGGTTACTAGTTACCATAAGGTAATCCTTAAAAAATTGAATAAAAATGTCTGTTCTACACAATTATACTCAGTGTCCATCTAAAACGCAACATTTTATTAGTCACAATGACAGTGCACTGCATTATTCATACGTTAGGGCAATATTCAATTTTTAGTAATATATAACATGTTTTTTATGTATGACTAGCTGTTCCCGCAACCACGTCCGCGCGGAATTTAACTTTATTTTTCTAAAATAAAAGTAGCCTAAGTTACTCCTTATTACATCAGCTACGTGCCAAAGACAGTCTCGTCAAAATCAGTCCAGCCATTTCAGAAATTAGCCAAACCGACAGACAGACCAAAAAATGTAAAAAATGTTATTCTGGTGTATGTAGCGTATTTATATTCATATGGATGTACTAATAAACAGTTATTTCAATATTACAAACAGACACTCCAATTTTATTTATATGTATAGATGTATGAATTATTGATAGTCGACTTATTTGACTTTCCTAGTGCACAAAAAAGCTGGCTGTTTAAGCTGTATTTCGGGTGGAGTTGTTACGAAGTCATAACATTGTGTTCTTACCACAGATAACATAATATTACATAGTTCTTACACACTACAGCGATATCAAGTAACTTTCAAGTATTTAGCAACATAGTATCA